ACTTCACCAATCCAAGACTCAGTCCAATTGTATGGTTCTACCAGGAGAACTGTTTTGCCAGGGGTTGGTCTGTCTTAAACTAACCCCTAGGATTCACTTGTCGTGAGTTAGGCTGGGGATTTAACCTGGTGAGATCTCCTGCCTGCCCATTGTGCAGTGACTAGTGTTTACATTAGGCTTGTGGCTGCTCTGATGGTGAAGTGAGCTTGTACCTACATTATCAAGTGTTCATAGCAAGTGATCAGTGTGCACTTTGGTCCCATGGATATTGGCCTCTGGTCATGAGCTGTCCCACTACTCCTTAGATTTGTAATACTGAATTGGACTGTTGATTCAGTCCCCTCATTCTCAATCCTGTTCCTGGGTCTAAGTTAATCTTCCCCAAACTCCTGTCACCTTTTTCTTTCTTCTTTTCTGGTACGATCACAGCTCACTACAGCCTCAACCTCCTAGGTTCAAGCAATCCTCCCTCCCACCTCACCCTCCCAAGTGGCTGGGACCACAGGTGTGTACTATCACACCTGTGGGCAGCCAGCCACCCAGGTGCCATGGCAAGAGACCGAGGGCACAAGCTGTTCCAGTATAATAAAGAAAATATATAGAATAAGAATAGTTACACTAGAAATAGATTATAGATATAATTATATATGAATATCATTAATCATTAGTTTATAGCATTACTCTTTATTCCAATATTATGATAATCTTTGTTCTACAATTATAACCTAGGAAAAACCAGGCCATACAGAGATAGGAGCTGAAGGGACACGGTGAGAAAGTGACCAGAAGACAAGAGTATAAGCCCTCTGTCACACCTGGACAAAGCCACTAGAGGGCTCCCTAGTCTAGCAGTAATGCCAGCGCCTGGGAAGGCACCTGTTACCTAGTGGTCCTTGGTCTAGTGATAGCGTCAGTGCCTGGGGAAGGCACCAGTTACTCAGCAGACTGGGAAAGGGACTCTCCCTTTCCCCGGGGGAATTAGAGAAGACTCTGCTCCACCACCTCTTGTGGAAGGCCTGACATCAGTCAGGCCTGTCCACAGCCATCTGGAGGACTATCTCCCTGTGATGCTGTGCTTCAGTGGTCATGCTCCTGGTCTGCTTTCATATTCCACCCTGTACACCTGGCTCCACCTTCTAGATAGCAGTAGCAGAATTAGTGAAAGTACTAAAGTCTTTGAAATGTATAGAAGAAATAATGGCACAAGCTGTCCTCTCTGTCTCTCTGCCTCGGCTGCCAAACAGGGAAGGGCCCCCTGTCCGGTGGACACATGACTCGTGTGACCTTACCTATCATTGGAGATGGCCCACACTCCTTACCCTGCCCCCTTGTCTTGTATCCCATAAATAACAGCGCAGCCAGGCATTCAGAGCCACCACCAGTCTCTGCGCCTTGGTGGTAGTGGTCCCCCAGACCCAGCTGTCTTTTCTTCTATCTCTTTGTCTTGTGTCTTTATTTCTACGATCTCTCGTCTCTGCACGTGAGGAGAAAACCCCACAGAGCGTTAGCCACCATGCCTGGCTTCTTTTTCTAATTCAGATTTTCTGGCCACTCTCACTTCTTTGCAGAAATTCCCATTACAGTTTTTGGCCCATGAGTATATTATTTATGGTAAGGAAAACCCAAAGACATAAAATAACTGCACATCCCACCTCCCAATTAATAACATGCCTCTTGTAACTTGCCTTAATCGAGCTTATTTGTTCTTGTTTTTGAGACAGAGTATCACTCTGTCGCCCAGGCTGGAGTGCAATGGCACAATCATGGCTCACTGTAGCCTCAACTTCCTGGGGTCAGGTGATTCTCCCACCTCAGCCACCCGAGTAGCTGGGACCACAGTCTTGTGCCACCACTCCCGGCTAAGAGCCTTTTGTTAATCAGAGCTTCTCCCCACCACATTCTACCACATCTTCATCCTTTACTTTCCTTGTTTTTTAAAGTTGAATTTTTCTTTCTTTCTTTCTTCCTTTTTTTTTTTTTTTTTGGAGACAGTTTCTTTCACCCAGGCTGGAGTGAAGTGGCATGATCTCAGCTCACTGCAACCTCCTAGCCCTGGGTTCAGGCAATTCTTCTGCCTCAGCCTCCTGAGTAGGTAGACTTATAGGCACCTACCTACTCAGGAGGCCACCGCCTAGCTAATTTTTGTATTTTTAGTAGAAACAGGGTTTCGTCATGTTGGCCAGGCTGGTCTCAAACTCCTGACCTCAAGTGATCCATTTGCTGCGGCCTCCCAAAGTGCTGGGATTACAGGCGTGAGCCACTGGCCCAGCCGGGTTGAATTTATTTCTGATTTGCCTTCCTAATAAATACCCATTAAAGCTAGATGCTGTTATTTGAAAAATTGTCTTTTTAGCAACAATCAGAAGCTAAAAATTAAATACAATATTGTTTTTGGAAGAGGTCAATGATACAGAATAAAAATTTTAAATATATATTTAATTTTATGTAACTAAAATATTATCTAGTTTACAAATATTTCATATTTATATTCCAAATGTTACTGTATTGAATCTTTATGAATTCTAGACAGCATAGTATAATCATGTTTCAAAATATTATGATAACTATTCATGATGTAGATTTTTCCTCTGCATCCACAATCCAAGCTTACCAGTCCTAGCTCTTGTCTCACTAGGACCCAGTCCTGTACTAAAACAAATCTGAAATCTGATAAATTAATGAGAAATATTATCGGCACATTAGCCTTTTAATAAACGTCATCAATATCTTTACCTGAAGAAATAGTTGGACTGGGTGCAGTGGCTCACACCTGTAACCCCAGCACTTTGGGAGGCCAAGGCAGGCGGATCACTTGAGGTCAGGAGCTTGAGACCAGCTTGGCCAACATGGTGAAACCTTGACTCTACAAAAAATACAAAAATTAGCTGGGCGTGGTGGTGGGCACCTGTAGTCCCAGCTACTTGGGAGGCTGAAGCAGAAGAACTACTTGAATCCAGGAGGCGGAGGTTTCAGTGAGCCAAGATCACACCACTGCACTCCAGGCTGGGCAACAGAGTGAGATTCCATCTTAAAAAAGAAAAGAAATAGTTAAGTGGTCCATTGGTTAATAGATATTGATGGAGCAAACATGATGTTCTTGTTCCAATCTGTCGTGATTCTTACAATCTAGATGGGGTTGGCAAACTTTTTCTGTAAAAGGCCAGATAGTAAATATTTTATGCTTTGTGGACCATATAGGGTCTCCGTTGGATATTCTTTTTTTTTTTTAATAGCATCATTTTAAAATGTTAAAACTGTTCTTACTTCCCAGACTGGATAAATGCCATATGAAATGTGAGAAGAGCAAATGAGTACCGTAGTCACTAAGGGCTTTGATGACCATTGACAAATGATAAGTAAATAAATGTTTGTATAGCAAGCTAAGCATTGCAATCGGTGGGAAAGGACAAGCATCATACGGGGACCAGGAAGTAGCCAAGTTTGGTCAGAATTCATTGCTTCCTGTGAGAAAATATAAAGCTGGAAAGGATGGTGGAGAGCCCCTGTCACTGAGGAGTTAATATCCTAGAAGGGGGATGCCATATATATATAAAATATATACACACAAATGAACAAATATGGCCAAGTGGTGGCTCACTTTGAGAGGCTGAGGTGGGAGGATCACTTGAGCCCAGGAGTTCAAGGCCAACTTGGGTAATAGAGTGAGCCCTCATCTCTACAAAAAAAAAAAAATTAATTAGCCAGGCATGTGGGCACATGCCTGTAGTGCCAGCTACTCAGGAAGATGAGGTGGGAGGATGGCTTGAACGTGGGAGGTTGAGGCTGCAGTGGCCCAAGATCGTGCCACTGCACTCCAGCCTGGGTGACAGGGTGAGACTCTGTCTCAAAACAAACAATGACAACAGAAAAAAAAACTATACGAGCTTGAGTTAGAAAATATAGGCCAGGTGCAGTGGCAGTGGCTGGCAGATCACTTCAGGCCAGGAGTTTGAGACCAGCCTGGCCAACATGGTGAAACCCCATCTCTACTAAAAATATAAAAATTAGCCAGGTGTGGTGGTGGGCACCTGTAATCCCAGCTACTCCAGAGGCTGAGGAAGAAGAATCGCTTGAACCTGGGAGGCAGAGGTTGCAGTGGGCCAAGATCGTGCCACTGCACTCTAGTCTGGCTGACAGAGCAAGACTCTGTCTCAAAAAAAATAAAAAGAGTTAGAAAATATAAAATGCTTAGCCTGGCCAACGTGGTAAAACCCCGTCTCTACCAAAAAATACAAAAATTAGCCTGGCTTAGTGGTGGGTGCCTGTAGCCCTAGCTACTCAGGAGGCTGAGGTAGGAGAATTGCTTGTACCTGGGAGGTGGAGGTTGTAGTGAGCTGAGACTGTGCCACTGCACTCCAGCCTGGGTAACAAGAGTGAGACTCCGTCTTAAAAAAAAAAAAAAAAAAATCCAGCTAGCAAATAAATAAATACATAAATCCAGGTGGCCTATGTTGACAGGTCCATCTTCCTGCCACAAGCTATACCTGCATTCGTTCTCTCTGGGTTTGGGAATCTAGGGTATGAGCCAACATATATGCTTGTCTGAAGGAGCCACTTACCTCTGCATCTTTCTCACTGATTCTTAATTTATTAGCCTTATTCTGTGCACCTTAATAAAACCTCTGCTACTGTGAGGCCCTACTGGGGGCCCTTCAACAACTCTGCCCAGGCCTAGGGTCTCCTGGGGCCACAGACATTAAAAAAACCAGAAGCAGCCAACACACCACCCTCTGGACAGCAGAGACCAGTGCAATGCATTCCTTTTATCTCTGCTCCAATCTCCTTCTGTTCCTAGTCTTTCTTCCTCTTCCCATCTCTCTTCTCTCTTCTTCCCTCATCAATTCCCCTTCCCCATCCTAGGCCTTGCTAACCCTCTGACTCCACCAGGACACTTGCCTAACAGAGTCACAACACCAGCCCAAAGAAGCACAAAGCAAGCAGGAAGGCCTCTTACCATTACCCTGACCCACCCATCTGACCACCTTCTCTGTCCCACTCAGGCCTCCTGGGATGGATGTCACCCGCCTACTCCTGGCCACCCTGCTGGTCTTCCTCTGCTTCTTCACTGCGTACAGCCACCTGCCACCTGAGGAGAAGCTCCGAGATGACAGAAGCCTGAGAAGCAACTCCTCTGTGAACCTACTGGACTTCCCTTCTGTCTCTATTGTGGGTAAGTCACCTAGCCTCTGGGCTCTGGCCCAGGAGAGGGGCTGCAGGAAATCAAGCATGCTTCCCAGGGTGCTACCAGGATCCACCGCCATGGACAGCTCCTTCTTGCTCGTTCCACGAAATAATCCTGGGAGAATAGTGTCCCTTGACTCATTTGGTTTGGGAAAGCCCTGCATGCTACCAATCTAATATGCAGCTTAGCATATGGTAGAGCCTCTGAAAGGCCTGAAGTGAAGACACTTGCTAAACTTTGTTTAATGTGGCATTTCTGAAACTTAATGAATCACAGAACTCCTGTCAACAGTAACAAACTTCAGGAAATGCTCCAGAACATATGCAAGACTAGGATGGACCAGTCCTGTCATGTCAGAGTTGGGAATGATGACTCAGGGGAAAATATGAGGGGCATTGGAGATCTGGTTTGACTTCACCTGATAATAATCATAGGCATACTGTGTGGTAGGCACTGTGAGGCAAGTATGGTCTTTATTTGTATTTCACAGTTGAGGAACTTCAGGCTTAGGAGAGTTAAGTAACTAGCATGGATCACACAGTTTTTAACTGGCAAAGCCAGAATTCAAAATCAGATGCTTAACTCCAGAACCTAAGCTCAAAACTAATATCCCTTACTACCTTGCCTTTTGCTAGGAAAAGAGGATATTTGAGGCTGGGTGAGGTGGCTCATGCCTGTAATCCCAGCACTTTGGGAAGCTGAGGATTGTTTGAGCCTAGGAGTTCAAGACCAGACTGAGTGATATACAGAGACCCTGTCTCTACGGAAAAATTTTAAAACTAGCAAGGCATGGTGGCATGTACCTGTAATCCCAGCACTTTGGTAGGCTAAGGTGGGCAGATCTCTTGAGCTCAGGTGTTCAAGACCAGCCTGGTCAACAGCGTGAAACCCCATCTCTACTAAAAATACAAAAATTAACCAGGCATGGTGGCATGCGCTTGTAGTCCTAGCTACTTGGGAGGCTGAGGCAGGAGAATCACTTGAGCCCAGGAGTCTGAGCCTACAATGATTGTGAGCCATGATTGTGCCACTGCACTCCAGCCTGGGTGACAGAGTGAGACCCTGTCTCAAAAATAAGCAAACAAAGACTAGCCGGGAATGGTGGTGTATGCCTATGGTTCCAGCTATTTGGGAGGCTGAGGCAGGAGGATTGCTTGAGCTCAGGAGGTTGAGACTGTAGTGAGCTGTGATCACACCATTGCACTCCAGCCTGGGTGACAGAGAGACCCTGTCTCAAAAAAGAAATTTTTTAATAAATAAATAAATAATCGGCCAGTCACAGTAGTTCACACCTATAATCCCAGCACTTTGGGAGGCCGAGGTGGGCAGATCACTTGAGGTCAAGAGTTTGAAACCAGCCTGGCCAACATGGCAAAACCCCATCTCTACTAAAAATACAAAAATTAGCCAGGCGTGGTGGTGCACACCTATAATCCAAGCTACTTGGGAGGCTGAGGCAGGAGAATCACTTGAACTCAGGAGACAGAGGTTATAGTGAGCTGAGATTGCACCACTGCACTCCAGCCTGGGCGACAGAGTGAGATTCTGTCTCAAAAGAAAAAAAAAAAAAAAGAAGAAGAAAAAGAAAGAAAAGAGGATATTCTACACATATCAGACAGGGAAGTGGAGGAACATCAACATTTATTTCTCTTCAGTGTAACAGACTTTTCACTTTATAAGCAGACTTCATTTATCCTCAAGACAATACTGCAAGGTAGATATTATGGAATCTTTTGTGCAGATGAAAAAACTGAGTCTCATGGAAGATAAGTAAGTTACCCACAGCCACATAGTCATTATATTGGCACAGTCAGGATTCAAATCAGGTCCTCCTGGCTCCAAAGCTCTGAGGAATGGAAAATAGGAAACACAGGTGCATCTGTGTGCAAGACGGGAGTCCATTTTCTGAGTATCACAATGTTCCTGCACCTGCCACAATGGAGATGAAGGAAGAGGCACCTGGGGTGACTCTGAGTGGCCCAAGCTCACCTAGGTCGAGGGACCAGGCCCCACAAGAGCACCACAGGCAGATCCCAGTGCCTGCTTGGACATCCCATTTGCCTTCCCTCAGACGACACGTTGCTATCAGTGCCTGGCTCCAGGTCACCATCCGGGCTGACAAGAACCTACTGGCTTGAGTCCTACAGTGTGATGCATCCAGCACGCTGCTTCTCCTCTCCCCCACCTGGCAACTTCCCGAGCCCCTCTGCCCCTCTCACTTCACTGCAACTCAACGTCCTCAGAAACATCTGACTTTCCTCCTTTTGTCTCTCTTTGAAGCACTGAACAAGAAATCCAAACAGATCAGCAGAAAAGAAGCAGAAAAGAAGAGATCTTCTAAGGTAAGGGCAGGGAAGTTCTGGGAGTTCTCACTGTTGGGGTGAGACTGGACTTACAGAAGGAGGACCCCCAAGCTCTGGCTGGGAACTAAATGAGAGATTTTTCAGGCCTACATTAACAAAAGAAACTGAAAGCCACTAAAGACATCCTGGCTTCAGCTCTGAGCCAGACACCCACAGAAGCCCAGGGAGCTGAAGTCCACTGAGCAAAATAGGTTATGAAAAGCAGCTTCCTCTTCTAGTTAGCCCCTGCCTGAAATTTCACCATCACTCATACTTTTGGATGAATGTGGTGTTTCTGAAACCTCAGTCATTTCAGAACCACATTTACAACTTTTGCCACATCTGAGTTCCACCTATTTATTTAACATATTTATTTAAAATTAAAACTTAGGCCGGATGCGGTGGCTCACGCCTGTAATCCCAGCGCTTTGGGAGGCCAAGATGGGCAGATCAACTGAGGTCAGGAGTTTGAGACTAGCCTGGCCAACATGGCGAAACCCCGTCTCTACTAAAAATACAAAAATTAGCCAGGCGTGGTGGTGGACACCTGTAATCCCAGCTACTTGGGAGGCTGAGGCAGGAGAATTGCTTGTACCCGGGAGACTGAGGTTGCAGTGAGCCTGAGCCATTGTACTCCAGCCTGGGTGACAAGAGTGAAACTCTGTCTCAAAACAACAACAAAAAAAATTAAAACTTAAAAAATACAATTGACTCTTGAACAACATGGGTTTGAACTCATGGGTCCACTTATACATTGATTATTTTATTTATTTTCTCTTTTTTTTTTTTTTGAGATGGAGTCTCGCTCTGTCACCCAGGCTGGAGTGCGGTGGCGCGATCCTGGCTCACTGTAGGCTCCGCCTCCCAGGTTCACGCCATTCTCCTGCCTCAGCCTCCTGAGTAGCTGGGACTACAGATGCCCACCATCACGCCTGGATAATTTTTTATATATTTAGTAGAGATGGGGTTTCACCATGTTAGCCAGGACGGTCTTGATCTCCTGACCTTGTGATCTGCCCGCCTTGGCCTCCCAGAGTGCTGGGATTACAGGCGTAAGCCACTGTGCCTAGCCTTCTTTTTTTTTTTTTTTTTTTTGAGATGGAGTTTTCAGTTTTCACTCTTGTTGCCCAGGCCAGAGTTCGGTAGCGTGATCTTGGCTCACTGCAACCCTCACCTGGCGAGTTCAAGCAATTCTTATGCCTCAGTCTCTCGAGTAGCTGGGATTATAGGCACATGCCACCATGCCCAGCTAATGTTTTTGTATTTTTAGTAGAGATAGGGTTTTGCCAAGTTTGCCAGGCTGGTCTCAAACTCCTGACCTCAGGTGATCTGCCTGCCTCAGCCTACCAAAGTGCTAGGATTACAGGGGTGAGCCACCATGCCCAGCTGATTTTTTAAATTGGAAAAAAATTTTTTAAAGACTGACAATTAGGAAAAAACAGGTGAATCTTGTTACCTAGAAATATTTTTTAAAATGAAAAAAAGTATGTCATTAATGCATAAAATATATGTAGATACTAGTCTATTTTACCACTTGCTACCATAAAATATACATAAATCTATTATAAAAAATTAAAATTGCCCAAAACATATACAACACACAGACAGTACATGATGCCATTCAAAATAGAAATATAACTAAATGTAAAGATGCAGTATTAAATCATAACTGCATAAACAACTGTAGTACGTACTGTACTACCATCATAATTGTGAAGCTACCTCCTGTTGCCACTGCAGCGTGCTCTGGTGTTGTGAGTACGTGCTTAAAACGCTCTGTGAGCTAATCATCTCTGCACAAGGAGTCTCACCAGTAAATCACATATTGCAGTAAAATGTGATCCCTCAAGGTTCTCGTGTATTTTTCAATCTGTTTAATGCAATATTGTAAGCCTTGAGTAGTACCAAGGGCCCATACTAGGTGCTACTAGTGATTCTGGAAGTGTTCCCAAGAAGCAGAGAAGAGTCATGACATTACAAGAAAAAGTTGCTTGAATTGCTTGATTCAAGCAAAAAGGCAGATTAGAAAGTGTTAGAACAGCACTAAGGACATGTTAGCACCAAATTAGCCCTTTCAAGTTGCAAAAGATTGAAAAAAGAATCCTTTCTCATTGTATAGTAGGTGGTACCACAGGTGGAGCTCTGCAGCTTCGGTTGCTTACTATTTCAGACAGACAATACATCTTGTAAACAGATGAAGTAAACTTATGGTATCAATAAATACAGTATGGTACTGTAAATGTATTTTTACTTCCTTATGTTTTCTTTTCTTATAATCAATCTCTACTTAGCCAATAATTTTCTTAATAATATTTTCTTTTCCCTAGCTTACTTGTTTTTTTTTTTTTTTTTAAGAGATGGGGTGTCACGCTGTCACTCAGGCTGGAGTGCAGTGGCACCATTTCGGTTCATTGCAACCTCAATCTCCCAGGCTCAGGTGATCCTCCTGCCTCAGCTCCGCAAGCAGCTAGGACTATGGGTATGCACCCCATGCCTGGCAGATATTTGGATTTTTAGTAGAGACGAGGTTTTGCCGTGTTGCCCAGGCTGGTCTTGAACTCCTGAGCTCAGGCAATCTGCTGCTTCTGCCTCCTAAACTGCTGGGATTATGTGCATGAGCCACCATGCCCAGTTTACTTAATTATAAGAGTACAGTATAGAATACATATAACATAAAAAGATGTGTTAATCCACAGTTTATGTTATCAGTAAGGCTTTCTTCTGGCCAACAGTAGGCTATTAGTAGTTAAGTTTTTGGGGAGTCAAAAATACTATGAAGGCCAGGCACGGTGGCTCACACCTGTAATTCCAGCACTTTGGGAGGCTGAGGCAGGCAGATCAGTTGAGTCCAGGAATTCAAGACCAGCCTGAGCAACATGATGGAACCTCATTTCTACAAAAAAATTTCAAAAATTAACTGGGGTGTGGTGGTATGCTCCTGTAGCCCCAGATGCTCAGGAGGCTGAGGCAGGAGATTCGCTTGAGCCTGGGATATCAAGGCTAAAGTGACTTGTGATCTTACCACTGCACTCCAGCCTGGGCAACAGAATAAGACCCTGTCTCAAAGAAAAAAGGATTTTTGACTGTGTGTAAAGAGTTTGTGCCCCTAACCCCTGCATTGTTCAAGGGTCAATTGTATATAATTATGATAGAAAACTAGTATCACTTGCCATAAATAGAAGGTAACTATAAAAATATGTAAAGTTGGCCAGGCACAGTGGCTCACACCTGTAATCCCAGCACTTTGGGAGGCCAAGGAGGGTGGATCACCTCAGGTCAGGAATTTAAGACCAGTCTGACCAACATGGTGAAATCCCATCTCCACTAAAAATACAAAAATTAGCTGGGCATGGTGGTACGCGCCTGTAAGTCCAGCTACTCAGGAGGCCGAGGCAGGAGAATCACTTGAACCTGGGAGGCAGAGTTTGTAGTGAGCCAAGATCACACCACTGCACTCCAGCCTGGGCGACAGAGCGAGATTCCATCTCAAAAAAAAAAAAAGAAAAACGAAGAAAAAAAAAAGGAAAAAAAAAAGGGGGGGGAAGTTAAAACATTGTTAGTGAATTCTGGATGAATGGATGGTATTGCCTACCAAAGGCTCTAAATTTGAGGCCTAAATCTCTGTGTTAAAAGGCAGATTAGGCCAGGCACGGTGGCTCACACCTGTAATCTCAGCACTTTGGTAGGCTGAGGCAGGCAGATCACCTGAGGTTAAGAGTTGCAGACCAGCCTGGCCAACATGGTGAAACCCCGTCTCTACTAAAAATACAAAAATCAGCCGGGCGTGGTGGTGCACACCTGTAATCCCAGCTGCCCAGAAGGCTAAGGCAGGAGAATCACTGGAACCAGGGAGGTAAAGGTTGCAGTGAGCTGAGATGACACCACTACGCTCCAGCCTGGGTGACAGAGCAAGACTCCATCTCAAAAAAAAAAAAAAAAAGGCAGATTAGAAAGTGTTAGAATGGCACTAAGGACATGTTAGCACCAAATTAGCCCTTTCAAGTTGAAAAAGATTGAAAAAAGAATGCTTTCTCATTGTATAATTCAGGGTCGTTTAACATTAACGTTCCACCTAAAATCATACCACCGTTAACACAGGTTCCCACTTTGGGAAACACTGGACTGAGGCATTGCTGAAATGCACACCTTATTCCTGTCTTAGTGTGCCTCAGTTTATCATATCAACTGTAACCAGAGCGAGGAGCACTGGATTAGGTATCAGGAGGCAGGATCTGGTACTGTGTGATCTTGAAAGTCCCTGCTCTTCTCTAGGCCTATTTTCTTGGCTGTAAAGTGAACAAGCAAGATGAGATTATTGACAGATAAAAATATATAACTGACAAATATATTTATATGCTAAGCACTGGGAACATAGCAGTGAATAAGAAAGATATATCCTATCCCTGCTCTCATGGAGTTTACATTCTTGTGGACAAAACAGGTGAACAGCAAGTAAATCAATAAATAGGTAAATAAATTCAACTGATAAAGAGTGCAAAGAAATTACAGCACGGTAATGAGAGTGAAGGGAAGAGTGGTCTGGGAAGGCCTCTCTGAGGAAGCAGTATTTAAATAGACTGAAAAATTCAGTAACCTAGAGCAGCAGCGTCCAATAGAAATACAATGTGAGGCCGGGCGCAGTGGCTCACGGCTATAATACCAGCACTTTGGGAGGCCAAGGCGGGCGGATCACCTGAGGTCAGGAGTTCGAGACCACCCTGGCCAACATGGTGAAGCCCTGTCTCTACAAAAAATACAAAAATTAGCCGGGCGTAGTGGCACATACCTGTAATCCCAGCTACTCAGGAGGCTGAGGCAGGAGAATCACTTGAACTTGGGAGGCGGAGGTTGTGGTGAGCCAAGATCGCACCATTTGTACTCCAGCCTGGGTGACAGAGAATGAAACTGGCTCTCAAAACAAAGGCTACTCAGGAGGCTGAGGCAGGAGGGTAGTGAACCCGGGAGGCAAACTTGCAGTGGCCGAGATGGCGCCACTGTACTCCAGCCTGGGCGGCAGACAGCAAGACTCCCTCTCAAAAAAAAGAAAATAATAATAATAATAAGCAAAGAACTGTGATGTGAGCTACATAATAATTTTTAAATTTGTATAGCCACTTTTTTTTTTTTTTTTTTGAAACAGGAGTTTGCTCTTGTTACCCCAAGCTGGAGTGCAGTAACCTGACTCAGCTCACTGCAGCCTCCGCCTCTGGGTTCAAGCAATTCTCCTGCCTCATCCCAATGCTTTCAGGATTACAGGCATGTGCCACCACGTCAGGCTAATTTTTGTATTTTTAGTAGAGATGGGTTTCTCCCATGTCGGTCAGGCTGGTCAGCTCCGACCTCAGGTGATCCATTCGCGGTCTCCCAAGTGCTGGGATTACAGGCATGAGCCACCACACCGAGCTGACAACCCATTTTTAAAAGAAAAAAAAACAGCTGCAATTAATTTAATATTTTAGAGAAACAACCCAGTATACTCCAAAATGTTAACATTTCAATATGTGATTAATTTTTAAAAGTTACTGAAATAATTTATTATTTTTAGATTGTGCTAAATCTTTGAAATCTGGTGCATAGTTTACAGTACAGCACATCTCATCCCAGTGCTCAGTTTTGACAAGCATGAAATGTAGTTCTAACTAAAAGTTGTGTTTTAAGGGGAAAAAATATTTTATATTTAGCTTCAGTTTTACATTTTACATTTAAATTAATTAAAATTAAATTTGAAAATTCAGTTTCTAGGTAGGTACTAAACACATTTCCACGTGCTCAGTAGCCACATATGACCACTGGCTACCTGTATCGAAAGGTACAAAACCCAACGGCTATTTCCTTCCCAGGAAGAGAGTAGCGGCAGCAAGCTATGACAGCAGTGTCCAAGGTGGCTCTGAGACTCCACCACTGCGCTAGGTGCACAGTGGGGCAACAAAGTTAACACTGGGTTGGAGGAGGCAGGCAGGGGCAAATCCCTCAAAGGCCAAAGAAAGTTCATGTTTCCTTTTAAGTTGAGAACCACTTAGACAGGGCACAGTGGCTCACGCCTGTAATGTAATCCCAGCACTTTGAGGCCGGGGCGGGCAGATCACCTGAAGTCAGGAGTTCGAGACCACCCTGGCCAACATGGTGAAGCCCCGTCTCTACTAAAAATACAAAAATTAGCCGGGCGTAGTGGCGCATACCTGTAATCCCAGCTGTGCACAAAGAGGCTGGGGCAGGAAGAATCACTTGAACCCGGGAGGTGGAGGTTGTGGTGAGCCAAGATCGCACCATTGTACTCCAGCCTGGGTGACAAGAATGAAACTGGCTCTCGAAAAAACAAAGGCTACTCAGGAGGCTGAGGCAGGAGAATGGCGTGAACCCGGGAGGCAGAGCTTGCAGTGAGCCGAGATGGCGCCACTGTACTCCAGCCTGGGCGACAGAGCAAGACTCCCTCTCAAAAAAAGAAAAATAATAATAATAATAAGCAAAGAACTGTGATGTGAGCTACATAATAATTTTAAATTTGCTTATAGCCACTTTTTTTTTTTTTGGAGACGAGGAGTTTTGCTCTTGTTGCCCAAGCTGGAGTCTGTGCTTTAATCTTTTTTTTTTTTTTTTTTTGGAGACGGAGTTTTGCTCTTGTTGCCCAAGCTGGAGTGCAATGGCACAATCTCAGCTCATTGCAGCCTCCACCTCCCGGGTTCAAGCAATTCTCCTGCCTCAGTCTCCCGAGTAGCTGGGATTACAGGCATGTGCCACCACGTCAGGCTAATTTTTGTATTTTTAGTAGAGATGGGTTTCTCCATGTCGGTCAGGCTGGTCCCGAACTCCCGACCTCAGGTGATCCATTCGCTTCGGTCTCCCAAAGTGCTGGGATTACAGGCATGAGCCACCACACCGAGCTGACAACCACATTTTTAAAAAGAAAAAAAAAACAGCTGCAATTAATTGTAATATTTTATTTAACCCAGTATACTCAAAATGTTAACATTTCAATATGTGATTAATTTTAAAAGTTACTGAAATAATTTATTATTTTCGTTGTGCTAAATCTTTGAAATCTGGTGCATAGTTTACAGTACAGCACATCTCATCCCAGTGCTCAGTTTTGACAAGCATGAAATGTAGTTCTAACTAAAAAGTTGTGTTTAAGGGGAAAAATATTTTTATATTGCTTCAGTTTTACATTTTACATTTAAATTAATTAAAATTAAATTTGAAAATTCAGTTTCTAGGTCGCACTAAACACATTTCACGTACTCAGTAGCCACATATGACCACTGGCTACCTGTATCGAAGGTACAAAACCCAACGGCTATTTCCTTCCCAGGAAAGAAGCAGCAAGCTATGACAGCAGTGTCCAAGACAGCTCCCGGGAACTCACCTGCCGCGCTCGGTGCACAGTGGAGCAGAAAAGTTAACACGGGTTGGAGAGGCAGGCAAGGGCCAAATCTCAAAGGCCAAAAGAAAGTTCATGTTTCCTTTTAAGTTAAAAGAGAGACCACTTAGACCGGGCACGGTGGCTCACGCCTGTAATGTAATCCCAGCACTCTGAGAGGCCGAGGCAGGCAGATCCCTTGTGCCCAGGAGTTTGAGACCAACCTGGACAGTGAGACCTGTCTATAAAAAATAGAAAATAAAAATGAAAATAAAAATAGCCAAGCGTCGTGGCGCACGCATGTGGTCCCAGCTACTTGGGAGGCTGAAGTGGCAGAATCGCCTGAACCCAGGAGGTTGCAGTGAGCCGAGATCGCGCCACTGCAGTCCAGCCTGGGTGACAGAGTGAAACTCTGTCTAAAAAACAAAACAAAACAAAAAGTAGGGAGAAGAGGGCCAGGGCCAGCCAAGAGCCAGGTCAGTCTGGATGGGGATGGAGGTGAGGGAATCAGACTGGGGGAGGGGGCGGTGGGCGGTGGGCAATCGGGCGGGGAAACCTCTGGTCCGGGACCTCCCTAGCCCGAGGAGCTCCCAGGCACAGGTGAGGACGCGAGGGGCTGGCGTGGTCGGCTCATAAAGCCCCGGCGTTTCCCACGCAGAAGGAGGCTTCGATGAAGAAAGTGGCGCGGCCCCGGACCCCCCTCTCTGCGCCCTGCGTGGCCACCCGCGACAGCTGCAAGCCGCCTGCACCCGCCTGTTGCGACCCGTGCGCCTCCTGCCAGTGCCGCTTCTTCCGCAGCGCCTGCTCCTGCCGCGTGCTCAGCCTCAACTGCTGAGCGCGCCCTCTCCCGGCCGCGGGCGGGCAGGGCTTTGGGGACGCGGGGCGCTTTTCGGGCGGGTGATCTCTAACTGGGCGGCTTCCCAGGACTGGGGGTGGGCGGAGGTTGCAGGAGGTGGGAGTTCAGGGAGACCTGGCTTGGGCTAAACTCGAAATACAATATATATAGGCTGCTCTAAGGTGTGCGGCTGTTTCTGTAAAGGTCCCGAAAGTTCTCGATGCCTTCGCCACGGAGTCAAGCGGACTGCGCACGCGCTGCTCTCCAGGGGCTCGGGACACCCGGGCGTCCCAGCCCCACAGCTGCACTGCCAGTCAACGCTGCTCCCGCCCTGGGGGTTGGGAACGAGGCTACCGCCCCTGCCATTAAAACGGGGAACACCCGAGGCTGCCTCCAAAACCGCGGAATTCAGACCAGCCAGGCAGAAAGGAACCGCCTTTAGGTCTTAACACATTTCCTCCTAGGTGCTCCCCTCTCCCCAGGGGAAGAAATGGAAAGAAAGAAAGGCCACGCCTGTATTCCCAGCACTTTGGGAGGCCGAGGCGGGCGGATCACCGGAGGTCTGGAGATCGAGACCATCCTGACCAACATGGGGAAACCCGTCTCTACTAAAAATACAAAATTAGCCGAGTGTAGTGACGCATGCCTTAAAGCTCAGCTACTCGAGAGGCTGAGGCAGGAGAATCGCTTGAACCCGGGAAGCAGAGGCTGCAGTGAGCCAAGATCATGCCATTGCCCTCCAGCCTGGGCAACAAGAGCGGAACTCTGTCTAAAAAGAAAGAAAGAAAGCCGAGGCTGGAGGATCACTTGAGGCCAGAAGTTCAAGACCAGCCTGGGCAACATAGTGAGACTCCCTGCCACGCCGCTCATATGTACAAAAAATTTTAAAAATTAACTGGGTGTGGTGGCATGCGCTAGTAGTCCCACCTACTCAGGCAGCTAAGACAGGAGAATCACCTGAGCCCTGGAGTTGGAGACTGCAGTGAGCTATGATCACACCACTGCACTCCAGACTTGGCAACAGAGTGAAACCGTGTGTTTAAGAGAGAGAGAAAAAAAAGGAAATAATCATTCCCATTCTTGTTATAAATCCAACGTAGTGAGTGTCCTGTTCCCTCTCTGTTCCTTAACACAAGAAACAAACACACAACACCCCCACACACAGGAAAGCTGCCAGATGCTTGTTTTGTTTTCTATCATTTAGGCTGCAGTCCTACAGGGCAAGAACCTTTTGTTCCTTGCACCACAGCTGCTGCTGAGTAAATGTCATATTGGGAAGATATTGCAGTCACTCCTCCTGTTTTCCAGACATTGTTCACCAAGCAGGCACCATTTGGTCCCCAAGGGTGAGGCCAGGATGCAAAGCTAAAGACTCAGTCCCTTAGTAACAAAGCCATTTGGCTGCTGGGTCCAGAAAACCACATAGAAGACCAACCCATTCATTCATTCAGCAAATGTGTATTGGGCACCTACTGTGTGCCAAGTGCTATGGACATAGTGGTGAAGAAGTCCAATACGGATCCTCTCCTTGCAGAGCTTACGGTCCGGTGGCCTATGGCTATTGTCCCTTGTTAAAGGTTAGAACCATTATTAGCATATGTGGTCCATTCCCTCAGACTATCAGTTTTGGTTTTTCTTTAGAGATGGGGTCTTGCTATGTTGCCCAAGCTGGTCTCAAACTCCTGGCCTCAAGCAATCCTCCTGCCTCAACCTCCCAGAGTGCTGGGATTACAGACATGAGCCACTGTGCCCAGCCAGTTTTTGCTTTGTTTGTTTGTTTTGAGACAGAGTCTGACTCTGTCACTCAGGTGGGAGTGCAGTGGTGCAATCTTGTCTCACTGGAGCCTCCACTTCCCAGGCTCAAGCTATCCTCCAACTTCAGCCTCCCAAGTAGCTGGGACTTCAGGACTCAAGCTGGGACTTCAGAATTCAAGAGATACTCGTGTGTGAGTACCTGGGATTACAGGCGTGCACCACCACAACCGGCTAATTTTTATATTTTTAGTAGAGACAGGTTTTGCCATTCTTGAACTCTTGGCCTCAAGTGATCCACCCATCTCAGCCTCCCAAAGTGCTGGGATTACAGGTATGAGCCACCACGCCCCACCTCCTTCTCCTTTTCAGAATTCCTCCTCAAGCCTAAAGTGCTAAGAGCATGGTCCTGGGCCTCTCAAAACTCTGCTGGTCTAATGACCAGAATTGAAACTCACATTTGTGACTCAGAGTTATGGTTTGACTGTTAAGAGCATCTGGGACCGCCATCTCCAACACCATTATTCATTCTATTTCTGTCTCACACACACGGGGTGAACTTACCTAGGAAGATTTACCCTACCTTTGTGGCCATTGATTGAGGATCATTTCTTCCTGAAGGACGTAGCCTTAAACTCGTGCCCAAAGTTCTCATAGTGTGGCCTTGAACAAGTCTTTTTTTTTTCTTTCTTTCTTTTTTTTTTTTTGAGACAGAGTCTTGCTCTGTCACCCAGGCTGTAGTGTAGTGGCGCAATCTGGGTTCACCACAGCCTCTGCCTCCCAGGTTCAAGTGATTCTCCTGCCTCAGCCTCCCGAGTAGCTGGGATTACAGGCATGTGCCACCACACCGGCTAATTTTTGTATTTTTAGTAGAGACAGAGTTTCACCATGTTGGCCAGGCTGGTCTCAAAATCCTGACCTCAAATGATCTGCCCACCTCAGCTTCCCAAAGTTCTGGGATTACAGGATATGAGCCACGAGCCACCACACCCAGCCTGAACAAGTCACTTTTGATGCTACCATTTCCACGTTTACAAAGTGAGAAGTAAATCAGTCAGAGTATTTTAGGTGCAAACAACAGAAACAACTCTAGCTAGCCTGAGAGAAAAAAAAGGTAGAGGGTTAGTCTCCTGGAGAGATTTGGGGACCTCGAAGGAAAGATTATACAACATGCCTCCAAAAAAAAAAAAAAAGCCCCTGAGGGGTGCTAGAGGAGCCAAGTGGACAATGTCTTCCAAGCACGGCAACAGGGATGTCAGCTCCAGCCTCTTCAGTCCTTGCAGTAGACCATTCAAAATAATTCCCAGGAGAGGCTGATTCACCTGATGTGGGGCCAAGAAAGGGTGGTCCACCTTGACTGACAGTCCCATTGTTCAGGAAAAAATTCTCAAACCATGTTTTCCTCTGCTTTCACATCACCACAACAGTCATCAACACCCAACAGACTTGTGTGACCCCCAAATATGAGGGGATTCCCCCCACCAGCAAGCAAACAATCAGTTCTGCAGTGGACACCAGCTGGGTGTCCTCCAATTCAATTCCAACACTATCTACTTGGAGATGGCATCAGATCCCACAGTCTGAGGGCTCAGTCCCCAAGACTGCCCTCATTTCAGACACCAGTCAAAAGTCTGAGCCTCTAGAACTTCTGACAACTGGCTTTAAGTTGGAGTTTCCACAACCCTCTTTGGGCTCAACTAATTTGCTGGAGGGGCTCACAGAACGCAGGGAAGCAGGGCCAGGTGCAGTGGCTCACACCTGTAATCCCAGTACTTTGGGAAGCCAAGGTGGGAGGATCGCTTAAGCCCAGGAGTTCAAGACTAGCTTGGTCAACAGTGAGACCCCATCTTTATAAAAAATAAAATTAGTCAGGCATAGTGGCACAAGCCTCTAGTCCCAGCTACTCAAGAGGCTGAGGCAGGAGGATCACTTGAGCCCGGGAGGTGAAGGCTGCAGTGAGTCATGATCATACCACTGCATTCCAGGCTGTGTCTCAAAAAATAAAAAACCAAAAAGAATTCAGGGAAACACACCGGTTTATTATAAAGGCTATTACAAAGGCTGCAGATGAAGAGATGCATAGGGTGAGGTATGGGAAGGGGTGCAGAGCTTCTATGTCCTCCCTGGGCCTGCCACCTTCTAGGAACCCCAGCGTGTCTGGCTATCAGGAAGCTCTCTGAAGCCTGTCCTCTTGGGTTTTTAATGGAGGCTTCATTACGTAGGCATGATTGATTAAACCACTGGCCATTGGTGATCAACTTGACCTTCAGCCCCTCTGTCCTCCCCAGAGGTTGGGGGATGGGTATGAAAGTCCCAACCCCTAATCATGCATTTGCCCTTGTGGTGACCCTTTTTTTTTTGGAGGCACGTTGTATAATCTTTCCTTTGAGGTCCCCAAATCTCTGCAGGAGACTAACCCTCTGCCTTTTTTTTCTCTCAGACTAGCTAGGGTTGTTTCTGTTGCTTGCACCTAAAATACTCTGACTGATTTACTTCTCACTTTGTAAACGTGGAAATGGTAGCATCAAAAGTGACTTGTTCAGGCTGGGTGTGGTGGCTCATAGCCTGTAATCCCAGAACAGTGATCAAATGATCCACCCGCCTCGGCTTCCCAAAATACTGGGATAGCAGGCATGAGCCACCACAGCCCAGCCCCTCCATCTTTTTGAGCAACCACAGATCTTAGCATCACCACCCATTGTTGAGAAATTACCCCCAGTCATACAATAGGAACTTTAGAAAGAAATTTAACTCCAAGGGCCACTTTCCATTTGTGAAGAGGACAGAATAGGCAAGAAAAGAATGTACTTTGAACTGAATTAGCCAAACCATCTGTAGTCAATTTAAGATGAGTCTAGAGTAGACGTGTTACTCTTTCTTCTTCCATGTACCAAGAGTAGAGGGTGTCTGTGTTGGGAGGGAGGATTGGATTCAGGAAGGAGGAGAAGGAATGACTTTTGTTTAATCAGTAAAATCCTTTAAAATTGCCAAATGCTTTCTGGTTCACTACAGAAATGAGGTTTCTATCAATCGATTGCCTGAAGAGAAACAGTAGCTCTCCCAGCTGGATATACGAGTTGTAGAGTCTGGGAGGTGGCACCTTCTAATGGTAAGAATGATGATGCTGACAATTATGCCTTCTTGTTGCCCGGGGAGCCCAGCAAATAGCTTCGTTGGAGTCCAGAGGCTTTTCACACTTTCCAGAGCTCCTCTTTGGAATTTGTGGACTCTTTGGCTGTATAGGCTACCAGAGCAATAGTAAACATTGGGCTGCTGCTCACTGCTCGAGGCCTGTGTGGTCTGCAGTTATCATCATGCCATACTAACAGTGATTATTTATGGAGCAGCTACTTCATGCCAGGCATGACACCAAGACTACCATATTAACATCTTGACCTAAGTATCACCGTAAATAAGACAACTGG